TTTGCTTAAATGTGTTCTTGAGAAAGGTCCTAAGAAAAAGTCTACATCAGATTCATGATGTGTTCTTAAACCACAGAATGGTTCGTAACTTTGTGCTCTTGAATTTGCATAGATTCTGTTCTTACCTAAGAACAAACCCCAAATAAGAAAACATTGGTGAATGCCAGAATCTTTAAGTAGAAATGTCGGTAACACTTTCTATGAATGTCACCTTTGTAAGCATCTATAAACACATTCATTAAATGTTATAATGCATTCATAAGACATTATAAACATAGCTATAAATATTTATAAAAATGCATTATATGTTATAGCCATGCTTATTATGCATTATGAATTGTTCACATAATACATTATAAGTACTGATCATAACAAATTATAAGAGCTCATAAGTCGTATTTGTCCGCTCTAAGTAAAGTGAAGCATACTGTACTAAAGCCTCCTCCAGTGTTAAGATTGAGGCTTCAAGTTGAAGTATTTACTGAAGGATTTACTGAAACACTAAAACATACACAATAAAGCTCATTACAGGCTTCAAATGTCAGAGTTTAAACTAGTGCTGCATCAGTGTTTTACCCAATGTGGGAAAGGTAATGTACACCACTGTCAGCCTGGTATTTGTTTTTACTTTACGCTCTTCAAGCTGGGACTGACTTCTTTGGCACTGACATTGTAACATGTTATTAACACTATTTATAATGCATTATATTAACACTTCATAATGTATAATAAACATGGCTATAAAGTGTAATTCAGTGTAATTCTTTTTTATAAATATATATAACCACATTTATAATGCCTTATGAATACATAATAACATGTTATAAATGTGTTTATAGATGCTCACAAATACGACATTCATAGAAAGTGTTACCGAAATTTCTTATTAAGAACAGTTGTTGAATGAGGCCCATTGAATATTTTAAAGCTGGCTTGGTCAGTCGTGTGTCATGGTTACTAGTTTTAGAATCTCCAGTGCAGTAAGATCTGAAGAAGTTATTTATCCTTCTGGAATTTGAGACTGGTGAGACATGATGCTAGTTCGAGTTTATTTACAGAAATCTGGCTTTAGTTTAGCTTAGACTCAAGGTCATAACCTCTGAAGTATGAGATGCCATAAGAAAAATGAGCTTATTTGGATAGACTGAGGAAGGATCCCATTAAATTTCCATTTGGGTGGCCATGGAGAGGAGCTTCCTGGTGTGTAGCTGGGTGAGAATCAAGAAAAAAAGAAATTAGTCCTGATCCAGGGTTGGGATCTTCAGCACCTCTGCTGGTAGACCTCCACTGGTTTCTAGTGAGGTCAGATTCACCTGCTGTGACTGCGTATCAAATCTGAGCTCTTCTCCGTTCTGGACCTGGATGAGCTCAGCTGCTAACCTGCTGCTTGACTCTCTGAAGCCTCCTCTTGCAAAGAAGATCTAGTCTGAAAGCAGCTGTTTCCTCCTTTTCTTGTATGCTTTCTCTTTGAAGGCAGACATTTTCAGGCCCCGTTGAGCTAATTTTGTTTTATTCGGGCACGTGTGTGGGCAGGCAGAGGCAGGACTGATCCTCTCTCCTGCGTCTGTTCTTCCATATCAAAGCGCTCCTTTCTTCCTTTGCTTCAAAGTACAAAATCTTGTTGTTTTTTTTTTTCTTTTAGAGGCCCAATTTCTCTGTCTGGGTGACAGCACATCAGTACGCCTCCCAGATTTCATGTTTCTGTAGTAACAGCTCCCCCTCCCGCTCCCCACCCTCTGCCCATCTCAATTAAATTTCCCACAAAATGTCCTCGGCTGGTTCGTGTTATGAATTCATTTCGCTTGTGAACTTTTGCTGCTCCTATTGTTGCAAATGACCGCCGCTGTAGGCTGTTGGTGACTATGTTTTATTTACCACGGGCACCCATGCTGTGCAGTGCCTTGCTAGTTGACAGCGAAAGCCTGGCACCCCTGCCACGATCCAGCTGGCACGGTGAAGGCGCCATCAGCCGAACGTGCTTGCGATAACCCCGGTGGACAGCAGCACTCACAAACAGCTCATCTCCGACGGGGAGTGGAGGGACTTTGGCCGAGGACTCAGTGCTAGCCCTTAGAAATATCTTGATTATCTTGCTCCCTCTCCAGTGGACGTCAAGACGATTTCTTTGAAGCCACAATGGCTTTATTGCTGAAGAGTTGCATCACATGGGCCTCAACTGGGGCCAGTTCATCCCAGCTGTACAGTGTCTTTCATACACATTGCCACCTTGATCCAATGAAGCGCTGAATGGGTAATATGAGGAGAAATAATGTTGCAGGTTTTATGCCAGGTGCCAGAGTCTCCAATCAACTGAAGCGATTGCGCTGAGGAATGATCCTGGGGAAACACTTAAAACGATCTGTCACTGCTTGATAATATTATCTGATTTATTTTGCATCACGGCTTGTTTATAACAGATGTTGTCCTCAGGGCTGACGTCTAGTGAGAGGGCAGCTGTGATACACAAACAAGGAGAGACATTCCTGTAAAATAGTGCCACAGTAAACAGTATGTAGTTTAGAATAGATTTTAGTACTTTAGTATTAGTAGTAGAGTTAGTATAATTAGAATATCTGACAGTTTTATTATATATCACTGTGTGTATATGTATCTTATATCAAATTATTTAACAATACTTCTCTTATTTGTAACAATTTAGTGCGTACATATAAAATTCATTTTAGTTTTTTTTTTTCCTCCAAAGGTCTAAAAATGTCAGGTGGTGCAAAATAAGGCAACTTTAAAAGTTCTAAACTCACTAAAAAAGTCTCAAATGTCAGGCAGCACAACCAAAAACAAAGAACTTTTGTTTTGACGTGCTTTTACAAAAGGGAAACCAGGTATTGCATCATAAAGAAGAGCCCAATGGTCAGGGTGCAATACTAAGGCCAGAAGCCCTTTTGCAAATTTTGGAAAAAATGTGATTTTTAAGTCATGGTTAGAATGACGGTTTACCATGTCAGGCGGTGTGACCTCAGGAAAACCATGACAAAGTGTAATTATTATAATATTGTTTATTTATTTGAAAAAATGTAAGCATAAATTAAGTTCAAGGACAGAAGTTTCTATGATTGTATATGCCAATTCAATTTGAAATTGGTCTGAAAAGTCAGGTGGCACACAGTAGTGGTCAAATGATGCAACCAGACCAGTACATTTAAAAGCTTTGATAACACTAACAATATTAAAGATATAACATGCACATTAATATAAATGCATATATACCCATACAGATATATATATATATATATATATATATATATATATATATATATATATATATATATATATATATATATATATACACACACACACACACACATATATACATACAGATATATACATACAGATATAAAAATTCACATTGTGTTCTTTTTCATAAGATTTTATAAAAATTGTAATTTTAAAAACCTGATTTGTCATTGATCTATATACATACACCAGTATAATTGTTATGGCCAAAGTCTCAAGTCTCATGAAGAATTTCAAACAGTATACCAGATGAACCAGTATACCACCACTACTATTGAATATCAACCTAATTACCTGCCCTGCACACCGTGGCATTTATTTCAGTGCAAGATATGGCAGTAGTATCATTATTATGATTCTAATTACAGCAGATTTCAGTTGGCTGATTTTTATAAGCAACAGGCAACAAGGAAAGTAATAAATAACATTGCCCAAAAGCTTGTGTGACACATGAACGCACCAAAACACAAAGGCTTGTGGGAAGGCTTAACACATGCATGCACATGCACACACAGCATTCAAATGCCGAACCTGCCTGGGTCATATTAAAACATCGTAAAACTGTTACACACATCACAGAACAAAATACTAATGAATAATCCAATTATCAGTCGTGTGTTAGAAGCAAACATTGTCTAATTCTCATCATGGCTGATTTCATACATCCGTTCTGTTAATCTGGATATTTTTTCAACCATACATATCTCTGCTTAAATTACATATGTTGTTGATTTCCTAAGTGTAAATAAGTTCACACATCCTCTACAGAGAACACACATCTGCACATTTAAAATGCATAATTACTGTTTATTTGCTGAATTAACACATTGTGGTGGCAGGGGGTGTCGTCCCTGTAGAAGGTGTGACTTATTTTCACTTAGAAAATGAACAAAATGTGTAATTTGTATGTAATACATACAAATGAAAATAAACGGCTATGCCTTAGGTATACATTTAGGGATTATTCTTATGTTTCTGGTCAAGTAAATCAAAGTTTATCGCTTAAAAGAGAAATTTATGTGGTCTTAGTGCATTGAGCAAATGGAAAAGGCAACAAATCAGTAAAAAGAAGACAGTGACATGCATGAAGGTAACATACAAAAAGGTCAACTGGTGTCTTGTTTAATAAATAACCTGCTGAAGGAACAAAAGGGAAAGAGTTTTTTCCAGAATGACAAGTTTAAACAATCTTCCTTTTTACTTCTAACATCACTATTATGTCCTTTGTTTTGCTGGCATTTGCCCACTGCAAGGGTGGGAAAATTACAAAATCACAAAAATTTAATTTATTTTTAATTGTTACTGTATTTAGTATGAGGTATGAGGTTTGCAGACAAATTGGAACAGCAAAGCAATAGTCAACATGAGGCTTAACAAATCTGAGTACAATGAAGTTTTTTTTGTAAAGTGTTTGCATGAATAACATAATTAAGTTTGGTCAAATTTGGTAAAAATAAATGAATAGAATAAGATAATTTGCATAATGGACCAACTCCCAATCAGTTATTTATTGCTATACAGTTTATGCAGCTATGACACCCTGATTATTGTTGTTTTTGTTGTTGTTTTTTATTGTTTATAAGCTCTCTTTACTCATTATGATTCAGACTGTTGTTACGTGTTCTAGAAGTCTGACCATATCTATCATATGCTCAGAATATTGAATTGTAACATAAATTTTCACAACATTGACATATTGTCATATTGCCCACCTCTAACCTACTTTATCAACCTTACTCATCCTTAAGGTATTGGTACCAAAGATGGGACGGCAGAGAAGGACAAAGACTTTCGAGGCAAGGCCCAGAAACAAGTCCAGTTCAACCCTGGTCAGACCAGCGCCACGTGGAAGGTGCGGATCCTCTCCGACAATCTGTATGAACAGTCTGAAACCTTCCAGATCGTTCTCTCTGAGCCTGTGATGGGGGCTCTGGAGTTCCCTCAGGCAGCCACGGTGGAGATAGTGGACCCTGGAGATGGTGAGTGGGCAGGCTGTTGAGATTGTGTACTTTATGTAGGAGCTGATCTCTTAATTATCTCCCATTTGTAAACTTTTGAGACTGAATACCTGGAACTGAAGTTATAATTAGCTTTTCACTGTGAGCATTTGAAAGCCTTGTCAGCGTCTATTAATGAGCTTTGCTGTAAACTCTAAACAGTGTTGTTTCGTGAATAATTTGTTCCAAAGATAGCGCTAGCTACCCAGCATTATTTGCTTAACAGTGTTGGGCTGTAGTCCAAGAGAACTGAATATGGAACAGTAGAAACTGGAGAACTGCCAGCCTGCAGAACAACCCCAACCCAGACTGAATGGTGAATTATAGCTTTTCCAAGGCAGCTTAAAAAGTAAAAGGGTCAGTCACTGGCGTTACCGATCGTCATTGGTGTTACACATAAGAAAGGTAACACCAGAGACATTTTTAATGAAAAATGCATTTTACAAAAATGGCTGCTACGGAGCATCAAACCACATTGTCAATCATGAAATATCCACTAAAATTTGTGTTCTATTATTTCACAATTACCTAAGAATAAAGTCGGTCACACCAGTGACTTCAGCTAAAAGTTTCATGTGAAATCATGAGCTAAATGAGAAATTCTCTGACAACTGAAAAGACACAGTGAACTCACCGTGTGCTTTTCTGCATAGATCCTCAGAAAATAGGTAAAAGGAAGACCAATGATGTCATCAGTGTGATTATTATTTCAAAATAAGAGATTTTTTGTTATGCAGTAACACCAGTGACATAACTTTCATTATATATTTTAGAATATTTATTTGGGATTTGTTTTCTTTATGTCATTCAAATCACATATTTCATAGTCATGTATAGATTATTGCAGGTAAAATTGCAGAAAAACGTTTTTTACCTCAGAATATGGCCTCACCCTTCGCACATGACTGTGAGGACCAGCACTTCTGTGGTGCTTGGAATTCTATATAATTGATGTAAAAAGCAATATTGCTGAACTGATGGCTCAAGAAGGTGTAATTGTTAAAATAATGTATTGTTTTATTTTACAATATTTTTAAAAATCCTAACGTTTTTCAAGTGTAGTATATCTAAACGCTAGAGACACAAAATTGGACGTTTCCATAAAATGACTCAAAAACAGTAATATTTAACTTAAAAGATAATAAACTGACCCCAGGAAGGCACTGGTCTCATTTAAATGCAGCATATGTTTATAAGTGTGTTTTAAAACACGTTTTAAAAGGACATGATGCCCCAGTGAGGAAACCTCAAACCAGCACCATCTCCAACCCAAGACATCCCTCTGGGACCACTAACACTGGCCTTGAGGAAGCAGTGTTAGAGCAGTAGGGTCTAATGGCTGTGCTGTTGTAGACTATCAATTGCAGCAGTGCTGTTTAGCATCCTCATTGTACCAAAGCACCTCAAAGGGTTTGTAAAGCTTCATTACAGACATTGTATGCATATATCATGGGATATATGTTGCATCATTTTGCATAAGACCTTCTGCTAGTGTTAAGCATGGGCTAAGTGGTCTGTTCACTTTCACATACATAAGCAAAAATAGCAACAATAACTGTATACCTCATTGATTTGTTCCTAGCAGTCCCACATTCGGTATGCTTTCAGTGTGCCACCCGGACGCTTTTGAAGTCTTGTAAACAGTGCTTCCTCAGGGAGAACAATAAAAGCACCATTGTAAGTCTCATTCCTTGAGATTATATACAAGTTGCTCTTCTTCGCCTCAAGTGTTCCGAGTTGAATTGTGGATATTCCTTCATTTACAGAAATGAGGCTTATTGTGCACTTCGTGAAAATGATGAAAGGTGTATATTGACGTGTGGAAAGAATATAAAAGCATTACTGGAGATTTTTGAACGCATTCAGGCAGTAAAGGCAGTGCAGAAACAAATGATGACCAATGTTATCACAAGGCTAAATGCTTGCCTGCTCTGAAAAGGTAAAACGTCCTTGTCTTTGAATTGCCTCGAATTAGTTGAGAAGAAAAAATAAATCTTATTTAGCTTGTTTTATATCATTTATATCAGCCGGGAAATGTAAGTCTCCATACTGTGCAGTGTTTTTAAATAATATCACATGTATGAAAAGGCTGAATACATTTACTCGGTAGTTATGGAGTCGATGAAAAGGTTATATGCACAGAACATCAGGGAACTGAAAGGAAATCAAAATAAGAATATCTGTTCTGAACTCTGAAGTTTCACCTCTCCGTCTGCCTGAAGCAAAGAACTGAACATGATTAACATCAAATTTCAGCTTTTATAGCTTATTTCACAACCTTGTGCCTTCAGGAGGAGAATTGTAAGATATGGATTGCTCATCCTTCAGTGCAGCACCTGCACATGTTTCCAGGTTTTAGAATCTCAAACCTTCAGGAAGTCAAATCAATTCACAGGGCTGTGCCCCCAGTGCTGAACACAATAGTGTTGTAGTTATAGGTCTCTCAGGATGTTGTCTTTAAATGCTTTCACAACAGCTTTGGGCCAGCAGTGGACTGTAATATTATAATGATTTTATTTCCTGTCTCTAGAGTCCACAGTGTTCATCCCTTCGGCTACATACTCAATAGAGGAGGACATTGGAGAGCTTCTGATTCCTGTCCGCAGGTCAGGGGACGTCAGTCAGGAGCTGATGGTCATCTGTTTCACACAGCAAGGTACAACACTGTCACAATGCCAGACAACTAGGTGTGGTCTCAGTGCTGAATGCTAAAATGATGCTACAGCAATGTTAAAGTCTGAACATGGAGTGGAGGCCCTTCCCCTCCTCCAGGTAGACGAGAACAAAATCAGTGGTTTTCCTTCCTTCTTGGTTTCCAGCAGAAGTAGTTCAAAACTTTGATCTCGACATAATTACTTACTCCAAATATTGATTTATTATCTCAAAATATTGTCTTATTTTCTTGAAATATTGACTTAATGTATTGAAATAATGACTGACGTTCTCAAAATATTGACTTAATATCTTCAAATAAGGTCTAATCTCAAAATATCAGAAGACTTATTTACATTAAATTTTGACTTAATATCTTGAAAGAATAATTCATTTTTTTAATTATTGACTTAATATATTGAAATAATTACTTTCTTGAAATATAGACCTATTATCTCAAAATATTAAAATATCAAAATAATGACTTGCTTTCTTGAAAGTTTGACTTACTTTATCAAAGTATTGACTTAGTATCTCAAAAATGACATTTTCTGAGAACATTGACTTAATATCTTGAAGTAACTACTTACTTTCTGTAAACATTGACTTTGTATCTTAATATATTTAATTTTCTTGAGAATTTAACTAAATATCTCGAAATAATTACTTATTCTCTTAAAATATTGACTTAATGTTATTAATGTGTTATTACATTTCATTAAAGTAATTATTCTATAATAATAAGTCATTATTACATGATAACAAGTCTCAACTCAGTAAGTCAGTGTTTTGAGAAGTAAGCATATAGATAGATAGGTAGATAGTTAGATAGAAAGATAGATAGATAGATAGATAGATAGATAGATAGATAGATAGATAGATTTTATTGTTTTTTCTACTGAAAGACTAACTGACTAGATTAGATTTGTATGTATAAGATTAATCTGCTAGCTTTTAAAAAACTTTGTCTACAATTATCTTCTTTAGACAAATTAGCTAATTACATGACTTTATCTCTTTTTTTAAGAGAACTGAAAAGTTTTGAGAATCTCCACTATTGACACTCCACTATTGTCTATTCAAGATAAGTTTATGCTTATTTTCATAATTTGATTGGACAAAAGTCTGGCTTATGTCTTATAAACATCCCAAAACATTACATTCTTAAAATAAGTACATTTGTCTTGAAATTTCTTCTTTTCAAAACTTTTCAAGCTAGCCCATTAATCTCATACAGGTCTAGTCTAGTTTGTTAAAGTAAAACAAATCTATTGTTCGTTTTCAAAATTTTCTTTACTGTTTTCGGTATCACCACATGAGCAGCTGTGTTATTAGGCCAGTGTGTTCATCATCTGGAGTTAATTAAGCAGTTAATTGTCATATGTGTGTCCTTATAATTTCATGCCTTTTTCGGGGCTGTGTCTTATTTTAAACATTACAGTATTTAAGACACATTTAGTTTACTTAAAAGCAAATTTGTCCTCGTATTAAGCTTGAAGCTTGTTCAAAAATTCTCATTTTAAGAAATTTTGTAACACATCCTTAAAAAACATTGATATGCTAGTTTGTAGATTATTATTATTATGACACCGTTTCAAACCGATGCCTTAAACCATGAAATATTTACTGATTTTAAAGTATGAAGATTTTCCAGAAGAATTTACAGCACAAGATTTTCTTTTTTCTCATTTTAAGAATTTATTAAGTAAAATTTTCTTCCTATATTGGCAGATAATTTTGCTTGATACAAACACCTTTTTTCTTAATTTGGTTTATTTTTCTATTTGGTTTATTTTTTCTATTTTCTATTTTTGCTATGAATTTGAGCAGGGGTGCCCAAACTTTAGCACATGGCTGTACAGGCAGAAGGCTCTGTCGCTTGCCCTTTTAAGAAGTGATCTACTGTTAACTAGTAACTAGTGTGCTGTTAGTAAAAACAAGCTAAACCAATAATAAATTGCACAGTTCAGAGTCCTGCAGCTGTCACTGAAAGCCTGCTTTGCTTTGGATCCCATTATTTAGCACAAAAACGCTCATGACGCAGGCTTTGACCATCCGAGTTGAACTTTTTTCAACTCAGGTCACACTGACCACTCCACACAAAAGACGTGCATAAAACACGAGGCACCTGGTGCAAAAAAACAGCCCGCAAAACACGTCCCTTCTGTTAAAAGCACTAGAGAACAGCTGCATTAGTCCTCAAGAACTGCACGCAGTGTGACCCCCCCAAGCTGTTCTGGTTCACATAGGAATATAAGTACACATTCAGAACCAACAATATTACATACAGCACACATCGAACAGTACTTTACATCCACAGAGGACATTGCATAAGACTCCCCACTCCCCACAGGCCTAATCACAATGATAATTGTCCGTCTGAATTCCTGCTGGTTGAGCAAACGAACAGATTCAGTAAAAAAGCTCCGCTTGAACCTGGTCAACCTAACATATGAGCTGCTTTTCTGTCTTCAGTCACTTTGACACAAAACCACATTTTGAGTTGAATGCATTGCTGTAAGCACTGAAGCTACCAGTGTTTTCTTTGTACTCCAAATATTAGACAGGATATTCATTTACACCTTGTCCTAAAGTTCGCGACACGTTTTTAAATAATAGTAGATAAATTACATTATTTATTCAGAGTTAAGGCAACATTAACACTTTTTTTTCAGCCAAGAGTGATAATGCACATGTACACACATATGTGTGCATTGGCACCTGCACACTTGCATGTACACACACATACACACACATCCGAATGTGCCAGTGACATCTGCATCTCACAAGTGAAACACTGCTATTGACTGAGTGTATCGAGAGAGGTGATACTTTACTGTTTCTTTCATCGTTCCTGCAGTTGTTAATTTAGCTTTTTTTAATATAACTCGAAATAAAACAGAGACAGAGAGAGATGTAAGTCACAGTTATGCTCTTAAAAGTGGCAAACACATCATCCTGTGTTTGAGACTTTCTGTATTTATTGTTTGAATTTCACAGTAATATTAACTCTGTATGAAAGCTGAGACTTTATTTGATCAGAAACCAATAAAACCCCAAAGCTCAATTGAATTTTAGACCATAAATCAGTTTACTGCACAAAACCACTTATTAGGAAAAAGGTTCAACACTTGCTCTTTGGCTGTGACCAAAAAGGATCCCTGTAAAGGATCCCTGTTCCCTCATTAGCACTGTGCTATATGGGCTTTTCTACTGAATTAGTTCAAACTGCAGTTTCACACTAAAATAACTATTCAAATTCAAGACAGGTCTAAAACTCAGTGAGTAACATTAAGAACTGTCACTACTGAAACACATATTCTGCAATTATTAAACGTTTCTGTGTTTTAATGAACATATGATTTTATACATTGATCAGGCGTAATATTGTGACCACCTCCTTGTTTCTACGCTCATTGTCTATTTTATCAGCTCCACTTACTATATAGGTGCACTTTGTAGTTCTACAGTTACAGACTGTAGTCCATCTGTTTCTCTGCATACTTTGTTAGCCCCCTTTTACCCTGTTCTTCAGTGGTCAGGACCTCCATGGACCCTCACAGAGCAGGTGCTATTTGGGTGGTGGGTCATTCTCAGCAATGCAGTAACACTGACGTGGTGGTGGTGTGTTAGTGTGTGTTGTGCTGGTACGAGTGGATCAGACACAGCAGTGCTGCTGGAGTTTTTAAACACCTCACTGTCACTGCTGGACTGAGAATGGTCCACCAACCAAAAATATCCAGCCAACAGCGTCCTGTGGGCAGCGTCCTGTGACCACTGATGAAGGACTAGAGGATGACCAACACAAACTGTGCAGCAGCAGATGAGCTATCGTCTCTGACTTTACATCTACAAGGTGGACTGACGAGGTAGGAGTGTCTAATAGAGTGGACAGTGAGTGAACACAGTGTTTGAAAACACTAGCAGCACTGCTGTGTCTGATCCACTCAGACCAGCACAACACACACTAACACACCATCACCACATCAGTGTTACTGCAGTGCTGAGAATGATCCACCACCCAAATAGTGTATTGTTGGAGAGTTTGGTCTTATAGCGCCTTCTTCAGGTGTTCTAGATTAGCTTAGAACAGAACTCTGAAAGCCAGTACATCTCTAGAAGCGACGTAGGGCTTCTTATGAAGCACTTTTCTCTAACAGTAAACTCCCCCCTCCTGCAGGCACAGCTACTGGCACTGTCCCCACCACTGTGCTGTCCTACTCGGACTACATCTCGCGCCCCGAGGAGCACAGCAGCGTCCTACGCTTCGACAGGGACGAGACGGAGAAAGCCTGCCGTGTGGTGGTGATAGATGACTCTCTCTACGAGCCGGAGGAAAGCTTTAACGTCACCCTCAGCATGCCAATGGGTGGCCGGCTGGGTCAGGAGTTCCACACCACCAGAGTCACCATCCTGCCTGACTCAGATGACGGTAAGGAGCTTTAAAGTGAATATTCAGTGAGGAATTACATTCACAAAATTTCCTCCTGAGCACAAATGTAGTTGATCTGCCAGGACGTATTTGGTGTCTGAAGTCAGCTTCTAAGGCTAATGTAGCTAATAAATAATGGGAGCTTATTAAGAATCACTTAGCATTGTGCAAATTTTGTGCATGCCCAAATCATCACACCCTTGCCTGAAACTGTTTCATTGTTTTAAGTAATCTCAGTAGGCCTCTGTGGTTTCTGACACTGTAAGACATACTGTTAGCTACAAAAATGAACTAAGGTGTGTTACATGGCTAAAACAGTAAAAGCAGCCATGCTGAAGCCTGTTTATTACTTGTTGGCTATATTAGCCCTGTAACTCCAAAGCAATAGTTTTTTACACAAATAGTGATGAAAAGGTTACAGACATTCAATTGGCAATTTACAATTTGATATTATGATATGATTTTGTTGTAGTAAAGTTTAATATTAATTTTTTGAGAAGGGGTCGTCCATGACAAACTGACTGTTTGCAAATATTCTGACAAGTCCCGCCTCCCTTAGTTAATGTTGATATGTCCGTTTAACTTTCAGCTCAGTGAAGGCCATAGAATCACCTGGTAGCATCCATAGCACTTTTGCTAACAGACCCAATCCCATTTCCCCCTTTGCCCTTAGCCCTTCATTTTGCCTATTCACGCCTAGGGGTAGGGTGTCCCAATTTTTGTTGAGATAGAGGAGTGGGGTAAAGTGTTAGACCCTCCAAATGGAGGTGTTTCAGAAGTACACTCCAAACAGGATGTTATGAGAAAAAAAATAAGACCGGCAAGATGGCTGCACAAGTGACCAAAGAAACACACAAATGTGAGAATTTTCTCCATTAAAAATGATGAAAACCATCATATTATCTTAGTTTAATGTTTTTTCTAGATAATATGGCCTTTTTTCCATAACAAGCTTAAAAAATCGCTAGTAATATGCTGATGTCTCGGTAGCCGTCTAGCTAACTTTAGTGGTTGAAATATTCCCCTAATATCTAATATCTAAAATGGGACAACCCCCAAATTAAAAGAGCGTTGCTTCATTAACAGGCTACTAGCGCTGCTCTGTAGGCAACCCTGCCAGTCTGCAGTGATAGCAGAGGAGAAGTTCAGCAACCTCACTGCTGGGCTTTAGTTACATTTAGGGAATCGTATGCCTTCAAGGAGCTGGGATGTGACAATTATTCATTATCGCCCACCCCTAATTTTTCGGTGATATAAAGCTGAAGTTTGCTATTTCCCATTCCGCCTTAAATGGTGCTGCAGTTCTGATACCTGCGGCCTCTTTGAAGACACATGATTCTCTAAATGTAACTAAAGCCCAGCAGTGAGGTTGCTGAAGTTTACCCTCCTCTGCTATCACTGCAGACTGGCAAGGTCGCCTACAGAGCAGCACTAGTAGCCTGATAATGAAGCAATGCTCTTTTTTATTTGAGGGTCCCATTTCGTAGGGGAAGATTTCAAGTACGACCCCCAGTAACTCAGTTCCAAGGGGCAAGGTGACACTCAAAAACAAGGGGTAGGGGTAAAATAAGAAATGGGATTGGGCCTAAATTCAAATAAACTAAGGGTTCGAATAAACTGATGCGGATCCATTCTTCACACAATCTAATACTAAAGCTTCAACCAGAACTGGTCAGTGCTGTGTTAAATGCTGAGGAGGTCTCTTTCTCTTGTCTTTTTGCAAATCTCAACAATTATGCAAAGGACATGATGCATGCAAATGCACTCATATTTGACTTTATACAAAATATTTTGACACAAATGTGACCACTGTGCAGTCCTGCTAATCTGACGGTCAGCAGCAAAGTTCAGAAAAGCTGAGAAAACATGCCAAAGCTAAGTTTGGCTGCCTAACTGATCTGAGTATTGTTCTGTAAAGTTATTTATTGTTAGATTCATTGTTAGTTATTTATCATCAGGGCTGGAGTGGGACTGACTAAGAGATGATGCAGACCAGCACACCAAACTTTAACTGCCTTTTTTCACTACAAAAAAAGGAGGACATGAAAAGCAGACAGCATTGCTAATAACTTACTGTTTACTGGCTAACAGTTAGCTTGGCAGGGAAAGGTTTCAGTTCATCATTCTGTTCATTAGATTAGATTAGCTAAGAGGTTTTTCTAAAATATGGGCATTTTCATCTTATTCATTTCCTGTTCTTATTTATTTGCTATACATTCCTTGCAAAAGTATTCAACCCCTTTAAAAGTCATCAGGCTCATCTGGATTACAAATGACATGGACAGTTTTTTATTGCAATCCAACAATTTCTTTAATATTTTGTGCTGTGTTGTTTTATTTTAAAACACTGACCTTCAAAATAATTAATTTAAAGTGATTCACATTTTTGTAAGAAAATATTCCATCACAAAAATGACTAACTGAAAAATGCTGTTTGCATAAGTATTCAACCCGTGCTGTGGAAGATTTACACACATTAAAGATGTTGCCCCAGTGAGGACACATGTGGCTTACAAATGGCCTCTATCTGTGAATCATTAAAAAAAGTTCACCTTTTCTACACAAAAGACCCCCTTAATTCAAGTACCACTGATCAGACTGTGAATCTGAAGGCAAGCTGTGAAAATAAAGATTAAAGAGCAATCTGAGGCAATTAGAGATAAAGTAATAGACATGCACAAGATGGGAAGAGGCTACAAAATAATATCAAAGTGTTTGGATATCTCAGTGAGCACTGTTGGATCAATTGTGAGGAAATGGCATCTGCATCATACCACCCAGGCACTGCCTGGAAATCAATCCCTCAAAACTCAGCGTCAGAACACCCTCTCTGTGAGGGAAGCTTCAGAGAAGCCAGCAATCACTTTGAACGAGCTCAGTGACTGAGACGGGAGTGAAGATGCTCCAGTCATTGATAACAGCAGCTCTGCATACAGCTAGCCTGCATGGGAGGGTGGCTCAAAAGAAGCCATTACTGAAGAAAAACCACATCAAAGTACGTTTGGAGTTTGCCAGAAAGCATCAGAGTGACCCAGCTAAAATGTAGGATAAGATTTTTTGATCAGATGAGACAAACATTGAGCTTCTCCACAAATCAAAACAAAATGTGTGGTGCAAAACCTAAGGCTGCTCATTGTTCAGCAAACATCTCAACAGGGAAGTATGGGGGTGGCAGCATCATGTTGTGGGGATGCTTTTCTTCAGCAGGGATTGGGTATATGGGTAAAATTGAAGGACGGATGGATGGTGCAAAGGACAGGAAGATACTGTGAGACAACCTACATTAATCTGATAAAAGAACTAAAGCTTGGGAGAAACATCATCTTTCAGCAGAACAATGGGCCTAAGAAGAAAGGCCATAAGAAAAAGTCTACGTCAGATTCATGACGTGTTCTCAAACCACAGAACAGAACCTTTGTGCTCTCGAGTGTGTGTAGATTCTGTTACCTAGCAAGAACCTAAGAAACCTAAGAAAACATTGGTGAATGTCAGAATCGTTATGAAAACTGTGTAAGTGGGTTTTAAGAAGAAGTTTTTTCTAAAGAACCATTGGTGAATGAGGCCCAATGATCCCAAACAGAAGGCCAAAGGAACACCAGATTGAAAAAGGTGAATGTTCTATAAAGTCCAATGCAATCGAGAATTTCTGGCTCTGTTTGGAAAATTGCAGTCCATAAGCGTCATCCAATCAACATGAACAACCTGGAGCAAATCTGCCAAGAAGAATGGGTGAAAATCTACTAAAGATCTGCTGACAGTTAATGAATTTTGATTTTGAAAATTTACTTTGAGCATATTGGTTCGAAATAAAAATACTAGAACAATCTGTGTGTCATTTCTATTGCAAGACAAACATGTTGACCTTTGAGGGGGTTGAATACTTTTGCAAGGTACTATAGATAGCCAAGCTGATTGTTGGTGATTAAATAAAAAACAATGAACATTTTTATCTCAAAAATTGGCATTAAAAATGACAGTCAACATCCTACAAACTAATGCCAATTAACTAGCTTCTGACAGCCCCTGTCAGAATTTCTCGCTGCCTGCCGGCTCGGATATATCCAGTTGTTTCCGACGCATTTTGTCACTGCATCCCGCATTGTTTTTGTTTGTTTGTTTGTTTCACTTTTTGCTATTGCTTTCTATCTTCATATGATTTATCTATGGAAGTTGCTATATTGAGCCTCGTTAACTGACCTATTACAGTCAGCAAACCGGGGCTCTACCACTTGACGAGGGGGCTGCTGATTTATCTCCTAGATTACTACATTTGTAGACATTGTAATATTTACAGTTTGTCTGTGCTACTGGCTCAAAACATTACCAGCCTACCAGAAAATCTCCCGGCTCTCACAATCGCCCACTCTTGCACTGGACATCATACTAAGATAAGTGTTACCAATTACAGTAACCCAGATAAAGTTTAGCTTACCTTAGAGTCTGTCAGTGGTTTTGCCATTGAGCTGTGATCTTCCACATAGTTTAATCCCAAACCTTTTGTTCCTCAATAACACACTTTCACCACTTTTAGCATTATAATTCTGATTAATTCACTGCCATCATCGTTCTCAGTCCACGTTTGTTCTCAAGAGTTCTTCATCGCTTGATGGAGAAAGTATGATGGAGTGCCATATGTTTTACGGTCACTTCAGTCAGATGAAGAGCAAATTCATTTCAGAATGATTGCATCCACTTACAGAACTTGAGCACCAAACTTTGGCACATTTACAGCAAACGTATATGAGATGCATTTATAGCTTGTGTAATTATACAGAAGTTTGGGCACAACTGGTCAATTTAAAAATGTTTTGTTGATTTTCTAATTGAAAATAAAGTAACACACCCTCTGCAGAGAACACACTTCTGCACATTTACTGTTTATTGGCTGAATTTGACATATTGGGGACAAAAATGAAGCATAAAGTGTGCAAAATGTATGGCACATTTAATATGTTATATTGTATGTTTTATTGTTTTTTCTTTAGCATGTAAAAAGAAGT